AATGCACGAGTTATTGTGCAAGTATGACAGTTGTGGTTTATTTTTCTTAATGTAACACCATATTTATGCCATTATCGTGTACTAAATTCCACAGGTAGTTTAATTTGGCATAATCCATATAAGGTTGTCACAATTTTTTAATTAATCCAGTATTTTATTCACATTTCTAAAAAGACAAGGTTAGTTTTAATATATATTTATATATATTTACATTGATAGAGTACAGCAATGTAAATGGGTAGAAATTATAAGTGTATTAGTGAGTGTAAAATAGAAATTACATATTGTAATAAATTATAACATCTCGACAGTTCATACTAAATAAAATAACAACTAGGCTAGTATTACATATATATCTAGGTCATATATCAATGTATTTATTAATATGGTTTGTATTAGAACTTTTATTAAATTTTTTATCTGGCCAAATAGGAGACATTGCGATTAGAATTTTATATATATAATAATAGTATTCGTGACTTCTAATATTCGTAATTTTTTTGACATTTTGTGAGCCTTTTACTTTTAACAATTATATACATATTTTACTTTTGTATTTCACTATAATTATTACAGCTGTGTATTAAACCCCTACAGTTTGTACACTCACGTGTAATAACTGCTAGTCATTACACGTGTTGGCCGATTGTTCTAAAATAGCGCACTCGAGTTTAACAGATGATTTGCTGATTTGATGTCGAATTTTTTGCTTTACCTCCTTTTAAGGTCATGTACGTGTCTATGTATATACATGTCGTTTGTTCAAATTTCAAAATTCATATTAATTTATTCATGTAGGACATTTTAGCCGCTTATGAACGTCAAGTATTTTACATTATAATTTTATTTTTTTTTCTCTACCGTCCAGTTCGGTATATAGATCCAATTGAGAAAATCTGGTAAGAAACTCAATTGAATTACTTTTTTTTAAAAGCCAGTTTATTTACAATGTATTTATATAGGTGTCTATGTCTAACATTAAATAAAAATCCAGTGCATGAACAACTATTGCCATGCACGTTCGTCATTCAAGTAATCGTTTAGTGAGTAATAGGCTTTGCTCAGTAAATATGATTTAACAGATGTTTTGAATTTATTTAAGGGTAATTCCAAAATATCCTTTGGTATCTTATTGTAAATTTTTAATACCTATTCCCATAAAAGACTATTGACGTTCATCGTTAAGATATGCAGGACATTCATTCTGGTAGACCAGCAGTTAATTTATTATTCTAATCTTAGATTTATTTTTTATTTAAATTCGTAAAATAAATTCTTGCAACCAATGTCAAATAAAAAATGTTGCCATACAATTTCAATGAAACTTATTACCTTTTGCCTCCCAAGTAATAGGTCCATATACTAGCAGTGCCCTGGAGTTTCATCCGTCATTTAATTTAAAATAAATTGTTCTATAACTTCTTTTTTCACTTCTTTTAGCCCATCTTCGAATGATTGTAGTTTAAGTAAGTTTTTATAAGCGGCTTTTACAAATGTTCATAAGCGGGCTAAAATGTCCTACATGAATAAATGAGTTTTGAATTTGAATTTTCCTTCCTTAAGAATCGTGCTATTAAATAAAATAACACTTCTTCTTTTTGGTCATCTTCTCTAATGGTTATAGTTTAAATAAGTTTTGCTTTCCTCAAGAATTATTATTAAAAAATATCACTATTAAATAAAAATAACATTTTTCTAAAATCCGAATGGTAATACCAAAGATTGTCACGTTGAAACAAACAAACGAATTCCTCAGCTTTATGTATTGGTATAGATATCAGTTCTCAGACGGTGAAAGTCATGTAAGGCACGTTGTGACCCCACTTGCACTCTCATTAGCCCGCTGACAGTTGGCTGTTGGCTCAGTGAATTCACCCAATTTAACACATGAAATGTAATAGTTTAATATGACGTCAACGGCCTCGGTTGTCTAGCGAAATCAAATCACATTGTTCTGAGATTATTTAATATAATAATATTAAATAATCTCAGAACAATTCACACAACGCCATCTAGTCCCAAGTTAAGCTAACTAAAGCTTGTGTTGTGAGTACTAGATAACTGATACAAATACATAGATATTTTTTTTTCATAAATACATAAATATTATACACAGGAAACATCTAGACCGATACAAACAATCATACTCATGAATAGGTACAAATGTTTGTGCCGTGCGAGGAATCGAACCCGCGACCATCTGATATAAGGCGGTGTGTTAAACCGCTAGACCACCAAGGCCGTCTATGTGTACTATGTAACGTTTATGTCATAACATTGTTGTCTAGATTTTTTTAAAGTGCTGCGAGTATTTTCTGTCTACTGTGATGGTGTTCATATACATACATGGACAACTGGCTGTGCCCGCGGTTTCACTCGGATTAAATTTCAATAAGAAATATAGCCTATGTATATATTCTGATGCATAAACTATATTACTGTATAGTTTCTTCAAAATCCGTTCAGTAGTGTTTGCATGAAAGAGTAACAAACATCCATACTTACAAACTTTCGCATTTATAATATTTCACTGTTTACCATCAGATGAAGCGTAAATCATTACATAGTATAAAACAAAGTCGCTGTCACTGTCTGTCCGTCCATATGTATGCTTAAATCTTTAAAACTACGCAACGGATTTTGAAGCGGGTTTTTTAATAATAAAATATATAATACATGTACACCCGTGTGTAGTCGGGACGAGTAGTTAGTTTGTTTATAAACAGAGAGCCATGAAGTGGGTCGATAATAGGTTGGCTATTATATTCCATTACAAAGCGATAATAACTCGTACATAACGGTTTCTTCTCGCAAACCACCCATTTTGAAGACCACGTTTCTGTTTTGCAAATAATATTGGCACCATTCCTTCTATTGTCTCTGCTGTGTCCGCCATTGTTGTACAAATATGCCGCGAAATTGCTATTCAATAAAACCGTATCTGTAAAGATATAATGTTATATTATTATATCTGAAGTAACTATAAACTCTATGTGATAATTAGGAATAGATTGAGCTAAGAGTGCAGCTTAAATTATGAAACTAGTTCCACAACGTTAATTTCAATAACAGTTTTAAGTGTAAACGTTATTTCTTTATGACTTTTTAATTTTATGTGATTGGAAACTAGAGCAACATTATGATTTCAGGTCTATTGTATATTCTACGAAAAAAAAACTAGATTAATCTATATTATGAAACTAAATTCAAGCATTATATATCTTTACATAGTATAAAATGAAGTCGTTTCCAATATCTGTTCGCTTATATTTTTTAATCTACGCAACGGATTTTAATGCAGTTTTTAACAATGGATAGAGTGATTTAAGAAGAAGGTATATAGAAATAGAAATAATCTTTATTTAAATAAACTCAATACAAGTACTTTTGAATATTCTCATATTTTTTATCACTCATTCGGAACGCAGATCCATCACAAGAAGAATGAGCAAGAAACTTGTGTGTTGCTTTTTTGAATAGATGTTTTATATATATATATATATATAAATAATTACACAATAACAAGTAAGAGGCATGTGATTCTTAGTGCAATCAGATAATATTGTCAGCGCTATGAATTTTAAGTTTTTCTACAAAAACATTATTATCGTTAACGAACTCTTCAATTTTATACATGTACACTGTGGAAAGCCAGGGCTGGTAGCTAGTAACTTACATAACTGGAATGCCAATTAAGCAAGCTGGCAATGGCAGCATGATGGTAGAGTTTGACTGTTCGACTTGGATTGTTCCTAGGCAAAGCGAATTAAATTACTTCAACTGTCTTAGTCATGGAATTCTAAATAGCATAACTGAAAACTACTAGAATACTATCGTTTCAGTGCGATCGTGCGTGATTATCTTGTAAGCAAAAAATACCAGATAACGCTCGCTGCACGAAAGACAATTGCATACTATTTAGTCATTTTTTATGACTACTAACACATGTAAGAAAATTTACATGACTAATAATGAGATTAAGCGAATAAACATTAACTGACATGGTTTATAATGCTATTCATTTAATAATAATTGTTAGTTAAAGTTGATCCTCAGTGTAGTTGTGTTTGCGTACAAAATTTGTTTGTAAATTTTAAAAATATCTTATTGAACCATATGCGTGCATTTTACATGCAGCCCAGAGTTTTATTATTTTTTAATTATTACTAACTACTACATTTAGTACTAGTAGTAATTCATCATCATCATCATCATCATCGCAGCCCGGAAGACGTCCACAGCTGGACATAGGCCTCCCCCAAAGATCTCCACGACGATCGGTCCTGCGCTGCTCGCATCCAATGCCTTGTAGTAGTAATTGATAACTAATAACTGATGGCCTCGGTGGTTTAGCACACCGCTTTACTTCCCATGGCCTCGTGTTCGATTCCTCGCATGGTGCAAATGGTGGTTTTGTTTCTACTTGAGTGTGATTATTTGCATCAATGTGCTTTTATTCATATTATATATTAAAAAATATGTAATTCTATAAGTAAGTAAGTAATAAGTAACTTGGTAGTAAATATATGAATTTTCCTGGGTTATTATTAATATAAGTTGTTAACATCACAGAAATTATAGCGTATTATAAGTTTATTGCCCATAATCTCAAGTTTATTACAATTATTGTATCTCTTTGTGTAAGATTTACAATTTTACAACCCACATTTGTGTTGTACTCACGCACTATGTAGGAACCATTAATGACAATGGTACATTATTAAAACTAACATCACCAGTTTTAAACAGTGGTAATGTCTTTACAAAAGAAATAAACACTTTCGCTTAGCAATCAACTGTAACAATACAGTTTACACAGTATAACCAACTTATTATAACGAGTATATCTTAAGATAATCGTAAAATGCTATATTTTACGATTATCTTAAGATATACTCGTCAATTGTATGGAGTTAAAACTGTTATTAATTTTGTATTAGCGCCTACGCTATGTGAATTGGTGTCTCCAGAGACTAATATGCATACTATTATTGTTCCAGATGGCGTAGAAAAGCAGTCAGAAATTTCCATCGCTAATGCTATTTAATATCTAATGGAAGGAGAAGCTATTGACACCAATAATATAATTTCATCTATAAAGAAATTTAGCACCGATGGAAAGGTAGAGCACAGAAGTATTCAAGCATTATTAAAAACATTTATTCTGCCAGAAAACGACAAGATGGCTATAAAAGAGAATCAAAGGAACAGCGATAAATATGTATATACCGTGCCAATCACATCTTCTATATCAACGGTAAATGAAAGAGCTAAATTAATAAACGAGGCAAAACTAGCATTTTTAAATTCTACAGTAAGTTCTTCCCCTTTATCAAAAACTGTTACAAAGAAAGTGGAACCTACTATTCACTATGCACAATTAGCTATAGCTCGAGGAAGCGAAGATACCAGAAGTACAGGTGGAGGGAGAAACTCGCAACAGACGTCAAATATAAAAGACAAAGAAACAACGACTGTTCCATTAGGCATATCATATAATACAAAGAAAAAACTAGAACAACAACAACAAAGAAGAGTAAGTTTCAAAATAAAAACTGCGTCGAATTCCTATAGACGACCACCGTTAGCTACGAAAACTATGACAATAACAAGTAGTAACGTGTCCGAGTTAACGAAGAAATTTAATAATTTAGTAAGTGACGAGAATAACGGACCTATAAAGCAATCGAAACTTGCAAAAACCATAGAAGATTTACAAATGGTATCACGGTGTTCAGCTAGTAATAGTTCAACCCCATCGTCGACTCTTAGTTCCAGTCCAAATATAAAGATAGTCGTTCGACAACGGCGAGGCTCGAAACGGCGCAACAGTAAAAAAAGATGTTCTAGCGTAGACTCTATTGACAAACTATTGCTATCTGACAATTCATCTACAAAAATACGTGTAATACGATCCAAGTCTGACGGTACCAAAATTCCGAAATCGCCTAAGAAACGCTTAAAGTATCCAGATGTAAACAGAGAGCATAGTGGTTCTGACTCAGTAGATGGTAGTCCTCTTAAAACTAAGGACAATGAACCAAAGAAACATATTGATATACCACAAAGCAATGGGGTTAAAAGTGTAATAAAAAAATTTGAATGTGAAATCACAGCTCAATGTAATGCTAATGCCCCAAGACGGCCAAAAGATCAAATTAAAAGTACAATACTGTCAAAAGAAAAACCTAAAGTACCTGAGAAGAAGTCTTCATTAGTCTTAACCAAAAATGTTGTTGTTAAAGATGGAATTCCAAAAATAAAAACAATTAAAGTAACACAGTCAACAGCTAATAATATTTTACCGATTCCAACACAAGATGATAACAAAAACGTCGAATCAGATTTGATGAAAAAGAGAGAGCCTATATATGATAAGAAAAAGTTCAAAACTAATTACATACACTTAGAAAAAATGCCTTTAAAAGTTGTTGAAATAATTCAGGAAGATATCAATGAAAGTAAGATTTCTATTTCCAGTGATAAACCAGAAATATGCTCAACTAAATCCAAAGAAGAAACGACGTATCAAGAAGTCAATTCAAATATAACTCCGAATCAATCATTTTTGTGGAGTAGAAAAAATAATACTTACTCCGAAATTGATAAATCAGTATCTGATGGCTCGTATAGCATTATAAATATTTCAAAAAGTGATAATAGTATGGAGCGCGTCGAAGAAATCTCAATAAACAAAAATGAATCTCAAGAATCTGAAACTATTGAGTCTCAAGGAACCATTGATGAACATACAGAAACAAAAGTCAAATGGGATCCTTATTCAGATTTTGAATCAAATTTAGTGGAAGCTTTTAATAAAGAAGTTCTTGTTGGCTATACATCAAAACCAGAAAAAGATTTAATTCTTGAAAACGATTACGAACTATTGGAACCTAAGGATATCGATAATGTCGTTGTGATTCCAATTAAAAACGCCGACAAACAATCAAAAATTAATTGTCCTTTACCAGAAATTCCTAAAATAATATACACTGAATCTCCTGTAGAAACTGAAAATACTATTTCGCGACGAGATGACGATAATATTTATCAATGTCTATTAGAGCTAAGATCGCATCCTGAAGGCGATGAAAACAGCTTCCATAATTACGAACTTTGTGATAGTAGATTGGAAGAGAGAACACGTGGTGATGGTGATAGTGATAATGGTTATGAATACTGCAAATCCCTTATTAAACCATATTGCGTAACTTCCAGCTCAGGTATTCAAATCGCTGAAAACTACCAACACTCCGAAAATAATAGTAAAAACTACGCCATCTCCAAATCTGTTAGTGGAACATCTACAGTGAGCTATGAAAAAATTGGCCCTGAAAGAATATACGAGAAAATTCCAGTACGTCCTCCAAAATCCAAAGACAGCAGTCCCACTTATAGCAGTCGACACTCTTTCGTTTCATCCGATTATACGGGCTATAATGATACAGAAAATATATATGATACTATTAAACAAAGCGACGCGACGTCTCTTTCCCATTGCTATGAAAGTATACCGAACAGTCCGAGTATGGTTAAGCTCCGCACAAATATAAAGAAGCACCTGTCTGGTATACATAAGCGTCTCTCTTTCGATACCGTGTCCACTAATAGTCGTTGTACAATATCAAGTGAACAAAAGACGAACAGCATATACGGCCAGAGATCTGTATTAAGCTACAATGGGCAAGAGATCGCATTCCAGGTGCCTAGCAGTGACACAAGCGTCAGCGACAGAAGTGATGATTGGGTCGACATCTCTGATGAAGAAAAAACTGATGAACAGAAGATTATAATGTAAGTATCACATGTAAATCTTTGAAACTCTATCTGTATTCACGCATGCTTCTACTTCTCAATTCATGCCTGCAAATAATTATCTTAAATTTCTCAGGGTAAAGAGGGCATCTTTACCCTCAAAAGCAAGATTTGGTGTAAATATAAACTAAAAATGTGTTACTTGCAAATTAGACAAATATTGTGACCAGTCCGAAATCAGTTTTATTATAGCATTTCCCTTGTAATATTGTAACTAATCAATACATTATCTTAGATAACCTAATAAACTCGGAAATCAATAATATCTGCCAATCAGATAATACTTTCCCCAGCGCGATACGTATTTACTACTTTTTATTAGTAAAATATGGGTTTAAATAATACAGACATATAAACGAAGTACTTACAATAAATCCGCAATGCACGATAATATTTAAAATTGAATCTCTTAACCTGAAGAAAGAAATCGCTTTTAAACATATTTTTATTTATATAAAAGAACAATTATCTATACTTCAAACATATTTTTATTACATTCTTGCAGTTTACTAATTGCAAATAATTGTTATAGAATTTATTAGAATATTATTTTTATAAACTATTTCATAACAATATTCATTGTATTCTGACCTTTCTTGTAGAAAGTTAGTTTGCAAAAACACCATATGTTTAAATTACATGTTATAGAAATACAATATAGATATTAGTTGTTTTTGCCCGAGCGAGAAATAAATCAAAAGTGATCAACATATATTTAGGGGCATTCAGTTCTCAATTATTGTCTTGTAACTTGGATGATACATTTTACATTATCTTCCTTTACGATATTGTTACCATTCCATTTGATCCGACTTCGAAACTATTATAGCCGTACTATTTTAATTATTTTGTTCAATCATGACAGAAATATCTTATTACAGTGTCCAAGAAATTAGTCGCGGCAGAAAGAGTCCTGTAAGCTGGTCGCAAAAAGTACGACACCAATGGCAAAAGTCGCCAGTTCAAGAAAATAAACAAAAAGGTTAGTATATTTACTTTGGTATAGTTACAAAATCATTTACAAACTGTTTCCTTTGTTATATATAAATATACGAATATCTCGTTATATTTTTTCCGTTTAGCGCCATCTATGAATGAGAGTGTCAACTACGACAACGTACAGTTTCAATTATTATGTCATATAGATCACCACAGATGGCGATGCTTGCAGTCAAAACTAACGATTTTGCCAGAGTATCTAGAATTTAGTATATAAACTGATACAACTGATGTAGTGATAATGCTTATTTTTTTTTAAACATTAGATTCTTTTTTTTTATAGAAGCGTTAAGGCAAAACAAGCTCTGCCCCATTTGATAGTAAATAGTAACTCGCGTATATTCATGCAAAGTATAACACTTCACGTTATCGTATGCCGCCCGTAACACAACTCATTCGTTGCCATTCCAGAGCATTAAGATCTCTCCATATCCTATAATTTCACTGTTTTATCACACCCATTAACATAAACATCTTATTAAGCAAACTGCATGGCGGCTGAAATAGTAGAATCAAAGATACCCACGCAGACAAGTTTGTACAAGTCCTACTCCTAATAGGTATTACAGAAATGTAAATAGTCGCCAATTCGATTTGATCCCGATTGGATTCATTCAAATTCTGTCGGCCTATACGAAACCAAAGCAGTCGGCTTACAACAAATTGCGTAAAACATAACAATGTAGCACTCAACCTACGTACAAATTCCTTGCGTACAACGGTATTTTAAACTTTTTTTACGTAAGTACTAGGTGACCTGGCAAACGTTTTGCCTTATTTATTTATTTTAAGATTCGTATTTTATTTGTAAAACGTGTGTGATTACCTAAATAGATGGTAGGTACAGCATGAATTGTCCAACATGTTTAGCCTAGATGACATACAGAGTACTTTAACGCTACAAAAAATATTGAATTTAAATATAATTTAAAAGAACAATGTCGTAATAATATAAAAGTAACAATATAAGTACATATAAAATAACTCATAACTGTTGTAACTGGCTAATCAGATATGTATTTTATATTCTAAATTTGTATTTGAATTTATAGTTCTTTTATATTACATTCTTGTTTTTGATACTTCAATTCCTTCATTCTATTCTAATATGTTAGTATTACTATATTTTCTCCCTTTACCTAGTCTTTTTTTTTATTACTACAACAATAACAAATAGTAAATTTCGTTAAATTTTATCTTTTAAAAAGCCTGTTATATTATAAAAACATTTATCGATTATTAATGTCTTAAATTTGTGTTTAAATATATTATTTGGTAAGTCTTTTATGCATTTAGGTAACTGTTATTTATTTCACATTACTATATTACACTTACACTTACACGTGTACACTTAGACTGTGGAAAGAACTACCTGCCGAGGTTTTCTCATGAGACTACAGCATGGGGTTTTTCAGGAAGGGTATATTAGGGTTTCTTAAGGGTCGGTACTACGCACGTGATACCCCTGGTGTCTCAAGTGTCAAAAGCCTACGGTAACCATTTACCACCACATGGGCCGTATGGTAGTTTGCCACAGTCATAGAAGAAAAATCATTAATATTGATGGCGCTGACGACGGCAATCTGCCCTTAATAGGTAGGTAGTTAATATAAAATCTAGTACGAAACTGTATAACATACCTTACATACTGATGATGTAATTCCCATAGCCAGTTGTTAGGACATTCTAACCGATCACATAAATTATGTTTAGTTGCTGTGCACCACAATTATGAATGTAAAGTGTTATGTTGTAAGTTCACGGACGTAGGTGCGCACGCGCCTATCGTGGGCGACTTCTAGTCGTTGCCGGATATCTTTATTTGTACAAATGCATATTATACATTTACCGTAAGGTTTTTATTCGTATGACAATATTTTATACTGAACTAAAAAAACGAAAAGATACAAAATGTTTTTCATATCTGTGAAAAATGTTGTCATTATAGTACACCTATACAAAAAAAGTAAACCTATTCAACTAGTACAATTCCGGCTTGTTTTACGAATCTTGTGGAAAGTAAATGAGATGAACGATTGTGATCGTATATTTTTTTGTGTTTCTCAGGACTGTTTTTAAAATAAACCGATTTGGATAATTCTGTTTTATTTGTTAGCTATAGTGCTTCTCGTGTGGTTCCAATATCTGTCCGATTGTCTTTAACTTATTCTTAACAATGTGATTGAAACTTCTCAATTGAAGTACTGCTAGATAATCATAATAATATGACATCCTCAAGAGGCCGAAAGTTCTGTTAATCAATAATTTCGATTTGAGTTTGCAGTGAGTTTTTCGTGGCCAGAACACGGTATTATGCATCCAGTTTCTAATCCAGCGTGTGGAACCACACTGCACCTTGCTTTGTATTGAAACAAAACGTTTTTGCGACAATTATAGTAATTCACTATTGTGTATCTGTATCAGAGTAAAAGTCGCTTCAGCTTTCAATGGCATTCACTTTTCTAATGTCTCACTGTCAGCTAACCAGACTGGTTTTGTATAAAGTTAGTGACTTGCCTTAAATGTTTACATAGTCTAACTTTAGGCATGGGCGTTTAAACTCTGCACATTTTTGTTTTTTATTTTTCTACCAATTTTAAATGTATTTTCTTTATAGAATTGTCATATATTTTTACTAGCTTTTGCTCGCGACTTCGCTCGCGTTAATTTATCCCTTTAGGGGTGGAATTTATCAAAATCCTTTCTTAGGGGATAGGCTACGTCATAGTGGCTTTATGCAAGCAAAGTCCCAGCCCGATCGGTTTAAAATTGACGAAGTTTCATATAAACTTTCATCCCCTATTTTATCCCTTTGGGGGTAGAATTAATCAAAATCCTTTCTTAGCATATGCCTACGTCATAACATATACCTGCAATCCAAATTTCAGCCCGATCCGTTCCGTGGTTTGGGTTGTGCGTTGATAGATCACTACGTCAGTCACCTTTGAGTTATATATATTTAGATTATTGCCAACTTTTGCCTTGCTACTGTCTGTATCTTTATTATAAGTATCTACCATTTTCAATCCATTGTTTGATTTATATCACGCATAAAGTCTATGCTATCGCCCACAGGTGTGTTTAGAAGATTGGTTCTTTGGATGAACTCAATGTATCATCATCGCACCCAACACCCGCTGGATCCAGCCAATGCTAAGAAGTTCCCACTTTACCAAATTTTAGGAATATATAACATAGCATAGTTGTTAGTTACAAAAATATTTAAAAGAGTAACACGCAAGTTTCTTTCTCTTTTTTCTTGTAATGAGACAGCTTTCCAAATGAACTGTAGATCACAAAAATAGGTACTCATGACTTTTTCATGAATTCAAAAGAGCTTAAAGTTAAGTTTATTTCAATAATAATTTTTCTATTCTATATATTCTATTATATTATAGAATCCACGACTGGAATGTGTAAAAGATGATAGGGTAAGAAAGGGAGTAAATAACGAAATGACTGCGAACAGGGATGAATGGAAGAGAAAAACATATTACGCCGACCTCAAATAAATAAGATAAGGAAGAAGCAGATGATGGTGATAGAATCCACGGAAATTGTTCCTAAAGGAATTAGGTCACTGCAGTAATACGCATTATTTTTGTTCAACAAAGTTATCTATTAATTATCTCCAAATTCCAACTGGATATCAGTGATAATCCCACTACTCTGACAATGGAAGGGGAAACGCGGTTGTTTAGTTGATCAAGTATACCTACTTATTATGAAATTCACATACCAGTCTCGGAGTGCAATTGTCTAACGATTTGACAGTGCAGTCGAGCAATGTTGCAGGCGTTTGTTTAGCATATTAAAGAGACTAAAACAGTACAGAAATTCCTATTTAATGTTTAGAGTAGGTCCGTATATCTATTTTTCTTTCTGTTGTCTTTGATGGACCCCAATGGCCGTTATTTTCTAGTAAATTGTATGTTGATACAACTACTTTAGAGTAGGTACATAGTCACCTAGTTTAAAGTAGTCTAAGATCATGTAAAATAGCATTAGTCTAATAAATTGCATAATAAAAAGGTGATTGTATAGCATATGTAAATTATATATATCTCAATGCCAAATATTTGCCATTTATTTTGTGATGTATATCCATTTACATAATCGCATGCAAGAATTTCAATATATACCTAATTTTCTTAAAGATGAAGTAAAACAGCACATAGTTATTATATCATTGCATAGTTACTATATACTGATTTTGTATATCATATTCATATAATTGACTCTATGCATGAGAGAAACAGTTTACATTACGAAATTATTAGAAAAAATACAGTAAAACCTAATAAATGATTTCACACAGTATAATAATAAGTGACTTCTATGCTACTGCATTAAGTGCGAGCTTAGGAATTACATACATAATACATAAAAAATAAAAGTACAGGATCTTATTAGTGAGTTAATAATAATAAATATAGCGTACTAAGATCCCTTGATTTTCGTAATTTTTCTTCCAGGAATTTCATGTTGTCTTTCTTTTTCGTTTTCTTTCTTTGTCTCCGTTTCAAATCTACAGCATTTAGATTCTAATACCCTTTAGATTAGATTTTATACTTACCAATGCCATAAGAATCATCATCAAATAAAAGATTTTTTTTCTGTTTCTTTTCTTATCTATATTCATGTGGCGAAGCAGCTATTGTTAGTACTTATGTACGAAAGTAGAACTTAACCTTTTTAAACTGTACCGTCAGCGTTGTCAACATTAGTTTCAAAAATATGTAAACAAATCTTCTGACGTTACATCAACATATAGTGTACGTTGATGTAACGTTCCAATATTTTAAACAGCTGTATCAATGTTCAGTGATTTACAAATTATAACTTGCTATTGTCCGTAGCAACTCAAGTAGACTTCCTTATTGGGCGCGCGCAGCAGCGCAGGCGCACCCACCGTGTCCATAAGCTATTGTCCACGCAACAGAGAGATTTGCTTATCTCGCTTACACGCGCCAGCTAGTTGCA